AAGAAATATGAGTGTTATTTTGACCTTCATCAGTTCATGGGTATCTATACCAACAAATATCAGTGTTACTTTAACCTTCACAAATTCATGAGTAACTATACCAACAAATATCAGTGTTACTTTAACCTTCACAAATTCACAGGTAACTATACCAACAAATATCAGTGTTATTTTAACCTTCACCAATTCATGGATACCTGTACCAAGAAATATGAGTGTTATTTTGACCTTCATCGGTTCATGAATACCTGTACCAACAAATATCAGTGTTACTTTAACCTTCACAAATTCATGGGTAACTATACCAACAAATATCAGTGTTACTTTAACCTTCACAAATTCATGGGTAACTATACCAACAAATATCAGTGTTACTTTAACCTTCACAAATTCATGGGTAACTATACCAACAAATATCAGTGTTACTTTAACCTTCACAAATTCATGGGTAACTATACCAACAAATATCAGTGTTACTTTAACCTTCACAAATTCATGGGTAACTATATAGTCATTAATCTGAAGAAATGTTCTCCCATCTGCCTTGTATACGTAATCACGGTCCCCCGGTGGTACAGCGGTAAGTCTTTGGATTTACAACGCTAGAATCAGGTGTTCGATTCCCCTCGGTGAACACAGCGGATAGCCCGATGTGGCTTTGCTGTAAGAAAACACACACACACACTTGTAATCACGCTTGCTGTTATTTTTTAGAACAATTGTTCTGAACTGAAACTGTTGTAGCCACCAGGGGCGTTTTAGTTCGGTTTAGACATGTTTTAATGTGAGTGTTTGTTCTGTTAGCTTGATATGATATTTCGCTGATGTGCCAAAACAACAGAAAATAATATCCTTTAAACTGAGAAACTCAATCGCGTATCTTAAATACGAGCAAGATTTGAAATTTTATCTTAAAACGTATATCGGTGAAATCAAATTTTAAAACAGAGAAGTATCATCCGGATTCTATGGTTAAACACTCAGTGGTAGGCTCCTAGGCTGAACACTTGGAAATTTAGGGCTCGATTCTCGTGGCGGAAACAGCGCAGATAGCCAAATGTATTACTATACGATAAACACACACTTCTGAAGTTTATTTCCATTGCTGCTAAGCCTACCCTAAGTCTTGTAGATTATATATAATACTCTTGTTCCTTCTTTATATCATACCTCAGAAATTATATCCTGTTAGAATCGCTACGTTGTCATTGGTTTGTTGCGTTGTTCGCAATTCCGTGTGCCATA